CTTCCAACCCCCACCATTCTCATTTTGTGATTCACTCTCCTCCCTGTGAAAGTAGGAAGAGAGAATTGATGCTGTGTGATCTTTCATGAATGCTGATACCTTTACAAAAGCTCAGATTTGAACAAATCTTTTCCTTCTTCCTGAGATGAAGGTGAAAGTTTTCATTGTCTGCGTTGGAACACGTAAGGTACCTGGTACTTTCTCTTCACTTTTCAGGGTTTCCTGAAAATACCCATCTGGTGGTTGAAGCCTTCAAGTCAGATGAAACATGGAGAGAATGCACACGACCAGGTGAATGGGATGACTTGCAAGATGGATGCTTTGCAAGTGTCTCCTGAAGGAGGTGAGCTTGATGGGTTTTTGAAAGGCCCGATTGCACTGAAGGCTTTAAGTCAAAAATTTTAATCCAAAGCCTTAAAATCCTTTCAAAACCTACGAGTGACTGAAACCTATGAGTTTCAGCAAGTTTATGGAGCTACTTAGGAGGCAGGTGCAATTTTTTACAAGGCCATGAATGCTGGATGGTACCCTTCTGATGTTCCTTAGCTGTGTTTGGTCAAGGGTAAGACCTCCACTAAATTTTGAAGCAGGGACTCTTGACTTGTCAGTAAATAAAATGGCTTCTCCATACCTGAAGGCAGTACTGTGAAGGATACAGGTGATTGACTTCATGTGCCAAACTCCCAATATCACTTCTAACTCCCTTCAGGCTCCTTCGGTTTTTTTGAGAAGCTGTAAAAGGAGTGATGAGTAAATCTTGCATAGAATAAAAGATGTTACATCCAGTATTTAAACCTGCTTTGGTTCTTCTGAAGGTCAAATCCAAATCAAAAACCAGCTAGGGTGGGAAAATCAAGTGAGGGTCGTGAAGGAAGAAGAAGATAAAGTGGGGACAAATGTGAATTGGAAAATGGGAAACAAACAGATTTCCCTTTCTACAGGAAAAGTAATTTTCACCCCGTTGTGTTACAGAGCAGCACCCCTCTCTTTTTAGAACCTTTTAGGAGGTTTATTAGCTTTTTTCTCTTTTTCTTTCAAATTTTTTCTGAGTTTTACTTTCTCCTCTGGTTATTTCAGTATCATAGGTAACAGCAGCTTTAACTTCCCTTGCAACATGTTCTACATTTCAGAGTCATAACCAATAATTCAGACTATTTATGAATTTGAATAACTGGTCTGAGTTTTAAAATTTGCAGTATAGGATCAATTGGAACTCTCCCTGTTTGGCAACAGACATGTTTCTGGAACTGCCTTCCAAAAACCAGTTGAGATCAGGTCCCTTCTCTAAGTGAAGATCTCACCTTGAAGTGACTGTTATCTCTTAGGACGTTAAACAAAGTCATGTTGACGACTGTTTTGTGTTGTTTCTTTCTTTCCTCCCCCACCTCTCTCCACCATCTAAAGATTCACCAGAATACATCCACACAGACACGGATCTTTGTTATGCTGGCAGTATAGAAATAGCAGGAGAAGCTTCTTTGGAAGATCTGAAGATGCAGGTTAGATGTTCTCCTGTATTGAAAATGTACAACACCACCCTGATTAATTGAGCTCTATTAATACCTTTTTTTTTTTTTTCTTTATTTCCTTTTCCCTTGTCTCCAGTATGTTCTGATATGGCATTTGCTTATATGCCATGTTCAGTGGTAAGTACCAAGAGGCAGTTGGAGCATGTAGCTCAGAGACTTCCTTAGTTATGTCCCTTGCAGTCACCATTCTACCTGTCATGTGTCCTGACCTGCAAAAAGCCTCGTTGCACTTCATCTGAAACTTTGGCTTGCAGCCCTATCTTTTATTTCACAATGTCAAAACTCTTCATGAGAAACACACACACACACACACACACACACACACAAGCACTTCCTAAAAAACCACTTTCCATTTCCACATTGTTCCTGTATTAGTTTTTCAGCATCTTATTTATTATTTATTTATTTATCTATATTGTCTGTTGAATCTAAAGAATAAAAGAGTTGCTTTTGATGCTCACAAGGTCACATTTGACATTCAGGAAGGTGTAGCTTAGTTTCTTTGGCTAGAAACTAAGGTGTCTTTTTATGCTGCTGCATAGATTTTTTTTTTTTTTTTTTTTTTTTTTTTTTTTTTTTTTTTAACCATAAAAGTATGACTTTTTAATACACTAAAAAAAAACCAACCCAAAAAAACAAAAAAAAAAGCAAAAAAACTAACAAAAACCCACCAAAAAACCCTCCCAAAACATGCAAAAAAACATAAACTGGTTGTATCATAAGGCTCTTTATTGTTTAGCCAGTTGCTTGTTCTGCTTAAACTGCCTGTGGAAGGGTAGCTGACCTGATTCTGATCCATACCAACACTTTTTTGGGTACAGTTTCTGTTTCAGTCTCTGCTACCGCTGTGGAAAACTCATCATGTGCATCTTGTGAACGAGGAGAATTGTCTTAGCATGGAAAGAGTATTGTGTCCTTGATAAGGGCTTAAAGGAGCTTGCTCAGCACTTGGCTAGAGATTCAGTCAGTCTCATTCCTTCCCAATTAAACAATTTTTGGTTAAAATAAGAAATTCAGTACTTTTGAAATGTACATTAAGTTGAGAACTGTTGGGAGGGAGTGAACTCCAACATGCTTTACAGTTGAAAAGCAAAATAGACTGGTTTGGGTGGGAAGGGACCTTAAAGCTCATCCAGTTCCAACCCCCCTGCCATCAGCAGGGACACCTTCCACTAGACCAGGTTGCTCAAAGCCTCATCCAACCTGGCCTTCAACACTTCCAGGGAGGGGGCATCTACAACTTCCTAGCCACTACCTGTCAGTCACAAGCAACAGCTGATGAGGAATAATAAATCCAAGTACCTTGCCCTATTTCTGATTGCTTCAGTATTGCATTGAGAATTAATCAAGTGGTTTTGTTTGTTGTTTTTTTTTTCTCCCAAGGAGACTGGCTGCTAAAATTATTGAAGAAATGTTTTTTTTCTTTTTTTTTTTTTTTCTTTCTTTCCAGGCTATGACCTTACCACGCTGCCAGGAGCAGGCTGTCCCACTGCCCTCATTCCTCAGAGCATGGACAGTGGAGAGTAAACGCCCAGGGAAGCTTTTACGAGACAACAAGCAGCAGCTCAAGTAGGTTTCCTATTGAATGTGCAAGTAGTATCGCAACAGACCTGACTTTTGGCTGGGTTGTGGGGTGGATTGGTGGAGAAATAAAATCATAGAATCATTTTGGTTGGAGAAGACCTTGATTATCAAGTCCAACCATGAACCCAACACTGACAAGTCCCCTATGATTAACCCATGTCCCTCAGCACTATGTCTACACCACTCTTCAATCCCTCCAGGGATGGGGACTCCACCACTGCCCTGGGCAACCCCTTCCAATGCCTCAGAACCCTTTCAGCAAAGAAATTCTTCCTCACATCCAGTCTAAACCTCCCCTGCTACTTGGCTCAATGTAAACAGGAAGCTGATTTCTGGTTACTTCAATTTTTTGCTGAGCACATTTTTTAACTTGAGAGCTGTATAAGGGGGATGTGTGAGCACAAGTAGCTCATACCATGCTTATTCTGCTAAGTTTTAGGTGGTTTTAAATGCAATTTTTGTACTTTTGTTTTTTCTTTTTGTTCTGATAGCCTCTTGCTTTGGTTTTCCAGATAAGCACTGACTAAAACAGTGACTTTCCTACTGAGGAACTTAGAATATGTGACTGGAAATGTGTATAATCTTTGTTTTGTTTTCAGTGACTATAAGCTTGGTGCCAGAGTGGAAATCTGCATCGAACCTTTGCAAAAAGAAGAGCATTTGGGGTAAGATCTCAAGATATGTATTTCTATTTCCTACAGGAGTGTATTTTGAGATGAGCAGCTTTTAACTTCAGTACTGTCCATCAGGATTACAGATGTCAGTATGTTGAGAATACTTTCGAGCTTATTTTTTTGTTTCAAACAACCAAAAAGCTGGGAATTCTGGGTTCTGAAAGCACAACTCAGAAGAATGGTTTGTTTTCTCTTCCTGATGACAGCCCCCATGAACTGCTGCTCCGAGTCCAGATGGGCATACCAGGGGAGAGGGACTACTATGACTCCATGGATTTGGTGTGGGATATCTCCAAAGAATGCACAACGTGGGCTCTGAGGCAACGAGTGGCTTCTCACTATTGTCTCCCTGTAGATAAGATTGAAATAGCCAAATACTTCCCTGAAAAATTTGAGTGGCTGCCAATATCTAGCTGGGTAAGATCTGGAAGGACACAATCCAACCCTTGTTTTGAGAGGAGCGTGTGTTGGTTTGTGCCGTGGTTCTTGAGCGAACGTATTTAAGCAGATTTCTGAATGAATCTTCTGCTTTGATTTTTATTCAGACACAGCAAATTTCAAAGAGGAAACGGAAGAAAAAACAGGAGAGTTTACAGTCAGCGCCTTACCACCTGAAAGATGGAGATATCATTGGGGTGAAGGTGAATTCACTTGGTTTTTATTTGTTGCACAAGGGTCGGGTTCAGGCACTGTCCCCGTTGCAGTATCTAAATTTCTTCCTGGTTTTCCCACATCCTGCTGCATCTCTATGGAAGCACTGGTGTGTGAATCTGGACAATACATTGTGTGGATGGGAAAATTGTTGCTATTGGTTCCAGTACAGGCTGAGGACAGAGCTGTTGGAGAGCAGTGAAGGGGA